TTTCTGGATGATTTATAAAAGATGAAGAATATTCTGGACAATAAGAAATTGTCTTACAAGTAAACTCAAATAAGGCTTACAGACTGAATGGACAGAATGAGAGTACAGAGGCATGAAAGCATATAACCAAACACATGTATGTACTGTAAGAATATGATGTATTCTTATGTATGTATCAAGCTTAGAGACTAAATTAATATACATATACCTACCCACTTGTTTGTGTACTAAATAATGTAGATATTGCTGTTTTTCCCATAACCTACTTGGGAACTGTTTTTTTTTTTTAACAGTTTTAATCAATACACCAACCTACATTAAAAAATAAATAGTCCAACACAATAAATAAAAAGCAAAAGGCCAATCAATTGCTAGCAGCACAGCTTAACAGCCACTCGTGCAGAAAACTGTCTGAAAAGGTGCTTCATACTCCACTATCTGCACGATCCACAGCTGCTCACTATTGATTTGTTGAACTCAAAGAACATCTATTATCACATGCCAGTGTGAAGCCAGCAATTTCTCCACCAAGTGGCCTGCAATGTACAGTTAGCAGCGCAGCACAGGAGAGCTGTCTGCTGAGGGTACCTGAGGCCCCACGTTAATTCCCTTCTTCTCATCCCACAAGGTCAATATAAATGCCTCATTCCTAAGCCCAGGCAACCAATGTGTGCTCAGGACTTCTATGCCTGGGTTGTTCTGTGTGTCATCTCCGGAGCACAAAAGTAACAAGGAGAGATGAGAACTGCCTGCAACTCCAAGTGGTTGTTGCAAACATGGTCAGCGGTTAAGAACACAGTAAAGGAGAGATGGGAGATGTTTGAAACAGATGTTTTCATGGTGTTTCTAGAAATGACAATTTATCTAGCCACATAGAGAAGAGATGATTGTGTGCAATGTGGAGGAGAGAAAAAGTCAACAAGTTTCCAATGGGAGTAGCACTGTCATGCAATATGATAAAATAATTTTTGATTCTTCTGACAGTATAACGATGGCAGCATGCTAGAATTTCCCAGGCTCCCGGGCTTAAAATTCTAAAGAAAGTGCAATATACTTTTTAATGAGTTCCTATAAGAACCATTGTATTTAAGCATTGAGAGGAAGGGTCTGATAAGCACCCATCCCTAACTGGGAAACTATTGACAGCTGGTGGCTTCTAGGGGAGAGAGGATCTGTTCTCTGTAATGGTGGGCCCCCTAAAATGTCAATCATACACTAGTGGATAAACCCATATCCAATCTATAGGTAAGTACATGGGCAGCACAAGCTAGACAAACTGAATATGAATTAAATACGGAGCAAAGTTAGAAGGAATTGGGGATGTCCTACCTTGGAAGAGTTAGAGGAAGCAGTTGGGAGTGTATGCATGTGTTAAATTCTCAAAAACTAGTAAAACTAAAAATGTTATATTAAAAAGAGAATGTTACTAAGTTTCATTTCTCGTATTGTTTTATAAGTATATACCCAAACACAAGGGTTATTAGCTGGGCCTCAGACGGCAGTGACTTACTGAGCAGTGAGCCTTTTGTTTTGACATTTTCAGGGAAGCTAAAGATTGTCTTCAGAGAATGTCACATAGCAAATGTCTGTGTCTTTCCATAAATCCCTCATTAACTCAAAATTGCTTCTGATAGTATCAAAACAGTCCCCAAGGCCGACTTCAGAGAAGGAACTCTTCATGATTTTACCTTTACATAAAGCAGTGGAAGTTCATATCTTAAACTCCGTGTAACTGTTAGTAAATCAATTATACTTGAGTTTCTAATCATGCGGTTCCTTTTCTATCCCATGTGAGGGAGTCTCTCTTATACACAGTAACCAGCCCTGAAGATGTGTCACACTTTAAGAATGATCACATCTTTGTGACTTGATATTCACACCACCACACTCATCAACCCACCACACACAAAGCTGCAAAGGATAATGGAATAAGGTGAAATCCACCAAGGCTTGCTCTATCAAACCAGGGATTTACGTTTTAAATATATGTGTTACCTGTGGTAGCAACATCTATTTGACAGCATCTCAAAATTGTAAAGCCAGAACAGCTTTGATAAATATTCAGAGTTCATTAGTGTGAGAATCAATGTCAGAATAAATGACCCAAGACCCTGCCATATATACTCTTCTTTAGAGATTTAAAAGCCACCTAAATATTATCAGCTAAATATTTATTTTAGAAAATATGAAACCTAGACATTTACCTGTTGATAAAGTTGCTATTCTTGGATGTGCAATAATAAATTGACATGTTTTCCTTTCCCCAAATTAAGGATCAATCTGCTCCACCATGGCTCATGGAAAATGACAGATCAGATTCAAACTCCCCCTTCATCAAATGCCTTTTTCCATTGGATTTTATCTTCAGCCAATTCACATGGCATCATAATAACATTATAAGAAATTTAATTTATTTTAGGTAAATAAATAGACAGATGGATAAGTGGATAGATGATAGATAGGTAGATAGATAGTAGATAGATAGACAGAGACAGTAGATACATAGAAGATAGATGATATACAGAGTGATAGATAAATCACTCTGTAGATAGACACAATAGATAGATAAATGAAAGATATACAGATGACAGATAAAAGTAGATTGTTGGCAGATGATAGATCATAGAGAGATGATAAATGGATAGAGAAAGATATAGGGAGAAGATAGTTATATAATAGATAATAGAAAGATAGATGGATGAATGGATAGATAGATAGATAGATACATAGATACATAGATAGATACATAGATAGATGGAAAGGCTATTGTACAGAGTACTCCCTTTACAATTATTGGTGGTATTTCATTTGCAATGTCATGAACATTTGTATTATTTTGGTTAAGGACAGGCTGCTGGTTGGATGCAGGTTACCAAAGAAATTAATAATTAGGAGACCCTTTGCTCTTACACATATGAGCCAATTCCAGCTTTTTTTTCTGTATTCTCTATCCTTCTCCTATATTCCTTTCTTGTAAACTTATTTTGTCCTTTCTTTTATATCATATCTTTTATATCTTTATCCTAATAAAGCCACAGCTTTGTTTATGCTATGCATGAGCCTGTTGAACACTTCCAGTGATGATGAAATATAACACTCTACTCTTTATATAGACTAAGTTTCATGAACTTATTAACATAAAGAAGGGCACAAAAATAACAGACAATAAGGTTCATTTTAAAGGTATTTATGTGATGAGATAGCAAATTACAAATCTAAGAGCCAAGTTCAATATAGAAAACAATATTTTATGAGAGTGATAAGGCTGGTTAAAGGTAAAGCAAACTGGCTTTGATGTTAATTCCAAAAGAGAAGGTCCTACAAATAATTTAAATGTCAATCTTTGGGTGGAGGAGTAAGCAATGTAATACTTTTAGTCAATCCTGTATTTTAACATATTTGCTTGAGTTTTGTTAAAAGTTATATCCAAACTTCATAGTCTTACCCAATGTGTCTGACTTCTATATACTTATCTTAGTCAGCAACGAAGATGCTATGTGCATCATTTACATAACACCACTCAATAACAGAAGCACTTGTACGCTCTCCCAAAGGAAACACAGCAAATAGAATGTATAAGTGTTTTTTCTTTCTTAAGTCTTCTATGAACAAAAGAGTCAAGGAAGTTGTTGACAATATAACATGCTCCAAGTATTCATGCTTTGAAAGTAGTGTCACAAAAAGGGATGACCCTTTACCAATCCCGGCCCAACTACTTCATTTCATACCAACAAATTGGCCAAGTTAAGAGTGAACACTAATCTCTGGGGAAAAGCAGAAGCAAATCGTAGAGACGTGGGAAGAGCCTTGGTTAATCCTTACCAGAAAACACTTGACCTATGTGACGAAGAACAACAAATCGATGACAGAAAAATCCATACATACCTTCCAAAGGCTGTGCACACTGATAAGCATTAGAGGAACTTACCTTATTTCCTTTTCTGTGTGCACCCTCTTCCTTTCTGTATTTTTTTCTACCTGCTGTTGGATGTATGTGCAATGGGAATAAGCGTATGAGGATAAGGAGGCATTAAGCCACCACCAAGAGGGAACAAACGGCTTCTAGTGAGTCTTCCACAGACAAATTGGAGGGAAAAGAAAAAGCAGGTAGCACATCCCTTCCCCGCCCCAAGTACCCTGAATTTTCCTATAACTGCCTGTTTCAGAGTAGAATAGCGTTTCCATATCATAAGTATGGAAACCAGATTCTCAGTAACGCTGAAGTATTCAGCAAAAGCGGTTGATGCTAAGTCCTTCTGCAGACATCCTATCACATGTTAGATTGCCAGGTACTCATTTGTTCCCCTTTAACATACCAAAGACATGTAGATCACAAAGCTTCTCGGAAAACTGAAATGGAAACTGCAAGAGATGCCTGCACACATGGTAAAATTTGATAAATAAGAAATCAAGCAAAATTAAGCAGATATAATTATTATAATGGTCTCCCTTGTGAGTACTCCTCAATATGGCTGCATTCTTCAATCCAGTAGCCTCATGTACTCATGCTTCAACCAAATATTCCAATGAGTTTAGATTGTGATGTTCAAATCTACCATGAATTCTGTGTTTAGAAAAAAATCAGATAACTGGAGGGGCCATCTAAGTCTGGTTCTTTTGACAAGTCTGAAGCATTTGGCTTATCTTGAGAATGGCTATTGTTATAAAAATGCCCCGAGAAAGAGGTGGAGTGGCAAGTTATAGATTCTCATGACACTGAAACATCTTCAGTGGCAGCACTGGGTCATCTCCATGAAGCCAGTCCTTTCTTAGAACTAAGTCCATCGGTGTACCTGCTGCAGCACTGGTGGACGAAATAGCAAACAGAGGCACTCTCTCAACATGAACTAAGTAAATAAACTGTGTGTCATAATAATAAACATGAGTGTCATACTTGCAAATTAGAAAGTACACATATATGTACAATGTTTTCTGCGCTTCCCCTTTTGAGTTGTCTGAGCTACTTGAGAATCTCCCCATTAGGAAAAGTGTGCACTCACGATCATTGCACTGGTTTCCGGAATATGACGTCATGGAGCAGTCACAAGTGAAGCCTTCCCACTGCTGCATGCAAACCCCCTGGTTGGCACATGAATCCTCCTGACAGGTTGTGCTGGGACCTGGTAATGCACAGAGGTGGAGGGTGTGGGATGAGAAAGAGAAAGAGAGAAAACATTAAAAATGAAAGGACAAAGACCTAAGACATCACCTACATCTACCACCCCCATGCCCCCAAACATTCAAAAACACAACCATCAAAAATATCAACTCAGTCACATGCAATTCAGTGTATACAAAGTAAGACAGAAGTAAATACTTATTTAGCCACAAATTGTCAATGATTACACAGAAAAGGGAGAGGGCTGAACACATGTTCTTCTTTAGGTAGACTTAACATAAAAGCTATATGTTCTATCATTCAACTGGAAGACACCTGATTTGGAGCAGGGATTTGTTGCTGAATATTGCTAAAGTAAAAAAAAACAACAAAATCTGTTCTCATAATTCTAATGAAATAATGTGCAATGTTTTATCCCAAAACGAAAAGTCCTCAAGTCCATTTTATGATGCTAAAATGATGGTAAGTAGAGAGAAGGAGGAGGGAAAATCAGCTCAAATGTGCTCTATCCTATAGGTGTTAAGCAATTTATGTAATTTCTGTTAACTCCTCCAGCAGCTTGAATAGGTAATAATGATAAGCTCCAATCAATAGATACAAAGCATTAAACCAGTTTACCCAAGGTCCACATTTCTTCAAGGATGCTAACTAATGCCTATGTCAGAGAGACTAACATTGAGACGACCTCTTCACTTCACCAAAGATTCCCAGACTGTGCTCTGTAGAGCAGTCATCTGAGTATTGGTAGAATTGCAAATTCTTGGGTCCCTCTATTAACCTGCTGAACTAGAAACTTTGAAGAAGTCATAAATCCATCTTACAACCTTCAGAAATTCCAATGCAATTCCAATTTGAGAGTCAGCACACTATAACACGCTGTTACTTAAAGATTTAATATACAGGATAGGGTGTGTCCTTCCCTGGGGTATTTCTATGCCAGAAGATTCAGGAGAACTGTTTTGATGTAAGGAGAAAGTATTAAAATGCTTGGCTAACTGTTTTGCATTACTATATTTGTTTTACATGTCTTTACCTAATTATATGTAAATATAATGGTACATGTACATATTTATAAGCGAGTATATCTACTTGCAAGGCATTCTAGGAATTTTTCTTTTTCCAGATGGGAGTTTAAAAAATCATATAAGTTTGCAATCTCATCCCTACAAACTGCCATTAAGATCATTCTTTTTGGTTAGCCTGGAACCAATCTTCAAACATTTTCTTTTCATCCCTAACTTATACTTTTCCTTGGGGTAAATATACATAGTCATATCTGAGCTAATGAGAAAGAGTGTAAAATTTGGGATAAGTCCAGATTCCCTAATATCCTCAGCAAATGAGATGGGCTGTTTGGCTCAACAAACGTATTAGTCATAAACCAATGCATAAAAGCATTGGTTGACAGAGCAAAGAAAATGTATTTATTGTAATTACTACATATTTTGCATTTTCCAAGCTAAGCATCACACAGGCACAGACTACTAAATGTAAGCATTTTGGATTTTAAGGGTCTATGTTCAAGAGAGATAAAAGGACTAGGGAGGGTTCACCTTCTAGGTGGCAGGACATTTTGTATTTATTCATGAAGGGTGGAAGCAGTACAGAACGGTCACTCATGAGACAAAGCTATTAGGATATGACATAAGAAAGTTCAAGTCAATTACTAACACTGGGGGAACAGCAGCACTGCTGGGGTACTGCAGCTCCTATTTGTCATGTGGTTGCCCCATGTAGGGATGAAAGGAGGTACATGGTCATGTTCTCAGTGGGTCTTAAACTGGAGCATTGTGTCCTGCAAGTTTCATTAACAATGGCAAATCAGGACAGCTTCTTTCAAAGGATAAAAGTGTCTGAGAAATCCACAGGGCTCCCCAGTCAAACAGCTCTCAGCAGACAATGGACTAGTAATTCAACTGTGCTCAAGAATCGGAAACACATGGAAGGCTTTCCCTTCAAAGGCAAAAACTTTGAGAAAACACAGTAATTCTTTGCATGGTTACTGAGTCTAGAGAAAAGCCATTCTCCTCCTCTCTAACTGCCATATTTTAAACATTTTTAAGGACTAGCCTGCATGCCACCCCCCAGAGCAAACATTCTCTAATATCTAGAGCAGAATTATTGCCCTTCTTAGTGACCACAGCACTTACTATCTGCAGCAATAATTTCTGCATGTGATAATGTTCAAGTTAGTGTTTTATTATATGCATTATACCATCTTCTACTTCTATCATCTCCCAGTTTTTTCATGTCTTTGTTTTTAATTATTTGTCATCAAACAGCTGTTTGCTGCATGCTTTTTAGAAGTCACATATTGTGCTTTGGGTCGGTCCTTTCTGCACTAAAACTACATGCATTCAGAGAAATGCATGTTTCAACGTGTGACAAACTCATATGACCTACTCAAACCATAATTTTCCTTTGTCTCATACTTTTAAACCCTGAGTGAGAAAGTGAGACTTTAGTCTGCAAAGGGAGCAGAAGTAAGTCTTTCACATCCATTAAAGGTTTGTTGGGAATCAAACAGAGAAAAGAATTACAGATCATTTCCAAATTCATCAAAACTGTTGCTTGCACCACACAATTGATGACTGGTTGTTATCACTATCCAGCTGATGACTTCACATCAGTTCAGAAGCAAACACAGAGCTCCCCTCAAGACTGGGATGACAAGGCTCCTTGCCTCCCACCCCTGTACCGTTTCCTACCGGCTATCCCCAGCTCACTGTGCACCAGCATGCTTCTGTCCTCTCCAACATGATGATGCTCAGGATATTGTCACCATGCCCATGACATGAGCACCATCCCAAAGCTTGTGAGCCAAGCTCATTTCCAGGCCCCAGGTAGCCTGAGGAATCTGAGTTGTAACAGGTTCTCTAGGTCTTTCTGACACCTTGCTCACATTCCAGGTCTACTGCTCCAGACTTGCAGCCTATCTTGATCAAGTCCTTCGGCGCCTGCTGTAGACACAGTGTGAGCAACGCCTTATGCAGATTTCTAAGACACTGGCTTGTCCTTCATTCAATTTTCAGCTCAAAGAGAACATGCTCAAACCACCCCATAAGGAAATTGCCACCAGCATCACACTCTTCCTGTTTGTATTACTTAACAATTACATGATCTCTAACTAAATTGTTTGTTGATCTCTTTCTGCTAATGGACAGATAATATTTACACGTTCACAATTCACAATGTGTTACTTTGTTATATATTTACAACTTAGAATAGTCAATTAATTCAGGATAACCAATCCATCATTTCACATGCTAATCACTCCTTGTATGGTTAGAAAAAGATGTAAAATCTGCTCCATTTGTGACTTTTTAAAATATTCAATGCATTGTAATTTACTACAGTCATCAATCTGTGCAACACATCATATAGGTTTGGTCCTCTTGTCTAGCTGAAATCCTTGGATCATTATCTACATCTTCTGCATTCACCTCCCTTCCCAGTAGGGGTGTATGGTTGAAATTATTTAAACCTCAAACATAAGAGTTCATATCTGTCTTTCTATGCCTCACCAATTTTACTTGGCATAATCACATTCATCACTATTGTCAAGAATACAGTCCCTTCTTTTTTTTCTCTCTGTGTGTGCATGTGTATGTGTGCATGCATGTGTGGGGGTCCATGTGCACATGTGTGCATGGGCATATAGAGTTCTGAGATCAGACTTGTATTGTTTCTTCTGTGTCATCCATTTTGTCACTGGCCAGGGACTCACCAGTCAGTCATCTGGATGAAGAGAGCGCCACGAATCTGCCTATTTCCACTTCCCCGGTGACAGGACTGCAGATGCTCACCACCGTGCCCTGATGTTTTGTCTGTTTGTTGTTTTATTTTGTTTTGTGGCATTGTTATTACTTACTTGAAATTGCCATACAAAGTACTTTAATCATACTCACTCCCTGCCTTATTATTCTGGCCACCTCCTCCAACCTTTTCAACACGAGCTCTCGGGCCTTAAACTCAGGGCCTTGTGCATGCATAGCAAGCACTTATGTCCTTAGCCCAGTGTCTTATTTTGTAAAGTCTAAACATATATATAGTCATTTTTCTTTATCCATTTACCTAGTGACCGCACCTAGCTCTTTTCTACTTCTTAGCTGTTATACACATGTTGCATTGACTATCAGAGCAGAGACATCTCTTTGACATATTGATTTTAATTCCTCTGGATACGTGCCCAGACGTAGAGTTGTTGGAGCATATGCTAATTCTATTTTCAGTTTTTTGAAGAGCTTCCATACTGTTTTCTGTAATTACTGTATTAATTTACATTCCCACCAACAACATATAAGGATTCTCTCTTCTCCACTCTCCTGCCAATTTATCACTCTTTTTCCATCAGAGTCATTCTCACAGATATGAGTTACTAACTCATGGTGATTTAATTTCCTTTTCCTCAGTGATTTGAGGTGAATGGGTTTTTATGTTCCTGATACACATTGGTGTTTAAGTTTTTTGTCCATTTTTTTTATGGGCTCATTTGTTTGCCAGCAACTGAAATGAGTTCCGTATATATCTGAGTTATTTACCTATCAACAAATATTTGATTTGCAAACTTTTACTTGGAATGTACAAGTTGTGTTCATACTCTATTAATTGTTCTGTTGCTGTGTGAAAGTTTTGTAGCTTGGTACAATCCCATTTTTTTATATATATATATTTTTCTTTTGTTCTCTGTATTTGGAATATCATGAAAGAAACCTTGCCCAGACAAATTTTGTAGACCATTACCTATGTTTTTCTTTGGTAGTTCTATAGTTTTTTGGAGGTAGTATGCTTAGTAAGTCTTTGTGCCACTTTGTGTTGGTTTCTCTATATGGTAAAGATGATAATTTTGTTCTTGTAGGAATCAGATGTCATCAGTATTACTGATATTTCTTTCCTGTGTGTTAAGGCTACTTTTATCAAAATTCAGTTGACATGAAATTGTAGAGTTATTTCTTCTGTCTGTCCTGTTCAATTAGTCAATGTGTTTTTCATACATCAACT